TCAGAAGGCAAAAACAAAAGTAGTTCTAAAAAGGATGTTGTGGCTGTTCACAATGAATACAGGTGGGGTAACACTTCACTCCCCAGCACTGTTGCTCCAGGGTATCACACTAACACAGTTCAATAGCATGAAACTCTCTCTCCCCTAAAATCACTCCCAGCTGCCCCTCACTACTAACTACAACACATTGACAAAAGGACTGCTAAGAGCTTTGACTAAGGCTAGGTTCACGTCTATGCAGTTTGTGTTTGACCCGTTTACACATTGCGTTTTTGCACCTGCTTTTTTTACGTATTATTGATGCGTTTTCTCTTTTTTATCTTGTTGCTAGGCAGATTCAAAATGCAAAACGCATCAAAAACGCATCAAAAATGTTTGGTAAAAATCATATGTTTTGGTAACAATCCCAGACCTCGCACTTACCCTAGGTTCACAACTAAGCATTTTTTGCAGAAACGCCGTACAGTCCATTTAACATGATTTCCTATGAGACAGGTTCACATCTCTGCATTTTTGGAAAGGGTCAGAGACTTTTTTGAATGCAAAACTTTGCGTTTTTGGTTCTATAGACTTCAATGGGACCACTGCAGAAAAGCATGTATTGTGTTTTTGCTGCATTTTTGATGCGTTTTGCGTTTAAAATATGCCTAGCAACAAGAAAGAAAAAAAAAAATGCAAACTGCATCAAAAACACGGCAAAAACACAAGTGCAAAAATGCAAAAGGCAATGCAAAACACAATGCAGAAATGCCTCAAACGCAACCTGCATAGATGTGAACCTAGGGTAATAGATACTAGTCTCTTGCACTCTGCTTTCTGTTTCAGGGCACATCTTCTTTACTCAAGTGCTCTATAGGACTCATTAATTCCCCTTTGAAAGTGATTAAGCTGCATTACAGCAACCATGAGGTATCAATGCACAAAAACCTTCATGTTAACAAGCACATAGGTATAACTTACCCCTCTGCTTTTAAAGGAATGAAGCCACTGTGGCTTTTCTAAATGCAACACAACTTGCTCAGGTAGTTACAGTGAAGACTGACCCTCCCACTTATAAATCGGTTTCACCATGTACCTTCTCAAACTAATAGCAATTTTTTCAGAAAAGATAAAGTTATAAAACTGTATCCCTAGACTAAATTTAGTTTTCCTTTTGTAGCAAGATTGTAGTCAGGATATTAATTATTCCTACATACTGCTGATTTTCTGACTTAGCCCATTACTGAGGGTGCTTGCCTTGTGGTGTGAGCTAGGGAAAGTTCTAAATATTTGTTGCAAATATCTAGAATGGTCTTTGCCTTTAGGGCTACTGCTAGACAGGGGTGTCAAACTGGTGGCCCTCCAGCTGTTGCCAAACTACAAGTCCCATGAGGCATTGCAAGGCTGATAGTTACAAGCATGACTCCCAAAGGCAGAAGCATGATGGGACTTGTAGTTTTTCAACAGCTGGAGGGCCACCAGTTTGACGCCCCTGTGCTAGAGGATCTTCCCTGCTGGAGTTTTGCTTGGTGTGGATGCTAAAGTCTTCTTCTCTAGGCCTTGCCCAGACAGGGGCTTGTGTCAGCAGAGGCCTGAGGGATTTCAGCAGCAGGTGGGTCACCTCTCCCCGGTCAAGCCACCCTCCACCCATCCCCACCCCACATTGAGTGAATGTGGCCTGGAGATGATTGACCAATGTAACTATGTAAAAATTTCCATATGTGGAATTCTTCTGTAAATACTTTGAGCTTTATTGTGGATTAACACTTTATGCAATGCTGCAAAAAATGAACTATTTAGAAAGAGATATTTTCATTCTTAAAGTGTAAGTTCACCTTTTCACAAAAAATGAAAAGGTGAACACCGTACACCCTACCCCCTCCCAGGCAACAGCTGCACCTACCTCTGTGGATGATTATCTTTCACTGCCCATGCAGCCGGTGCAGGGATCCAAGGGTTTTAAAGCGTATGTGCAGGCACATGACTGCTTTGACCAATCAGAATTGCTCTGATCCACCCTGATTCCAAAAGGAAAGATTATATTTGTGTATATACAGAAGTAGCTAATATTAAAGTACAAAAAGCCTCCTGATCCTGAAACCAAAAGTCTTGGTCAAATTTGTGGTTTACAATTCCAAAATGTTAAAATGTGCCAAATAACTATAAAACCTATTGCTATCACTTGCTCACATTAAAGGTCAATAAGGGAGATATTAAAATATCTTAATTATAGTGGTTTAAAATCAAAATAAAACTGGAAAATAGAACACTAAACCTATGATAAAATTTCCATTGAACAGTGACATTTTAGAGGAGTCAAGGAATTAATCCTACAAATGGACATAACTTTCCTTTACTCCAGCGTGTTTTATGGAAGAGCAAGCAAATAAATAGCGGTTTGCCATAATGACATGAAACCACTGGTTGGTTATTGGTAGACAACCATGTTCTACAGTGCTGCTTTCCTTACTCCTCTGGTTGAAAAATGGGATAAGGTAAGACTGACTGCATGGTTTCCCAGCATCAGAGAGGCTGATTTGAAAGTTGCTACTGTTTTTTGCAGAAAACCATAGACAGTGACAAATTGTTTCAGGCTAGTCTCAATGTAAGATGACAGTGCGTGGGCTTAAAAAGGAGTGGATGATTATTAACCCTCATTCTGGTGGTTTGGAAAAATTCTAGCTAGTGCCCATATGGTTTCTATGGGGCCAAAAATAAGGGTTTGTTGGTCAGCTAGAGAGGGTAGTTAGATCATCCATGTAATTTATTCAGGGAAGCCTACAACACCTCCACCTAAAAACTGTACTTGAATCACCTCCACCAGATCATCCGCTGTAGCTATTACCTTTTGTACCACCTCCCCTTCCCATTAGATTGTAAACTCCATGAGCAGGGCCCTCCTATTTCTTCTGTATTGAACTGTATTGTAATTGTACTGTCCACCTTTATATTGTAAAATGCTGCACAAACTGTTGGCGCTATATAAATCCTATATATTAATAATAATAATAATGTAATAACCTCACCCATTTGCTTTACTATCTATTTCCATTACTGTTGCCATAGATTCCCTTTGGGGTTGAGAAGGACAGATAACTTTTTTAATTCAGCAAACTGCCCTCCTGTTTAAGTATAGTTCTGGTGGACTTGCAGAACGCTGAATCAGATGAGATTCCTTGTTGCCTGTAGCTGGGTCCAGAAAAAGGAGTGGTTTCTATGCAGAAGGGAATCTGATTTTGGACTCTCCAGCTTTAGTAAATAAACCCCTATGTGTTCCATCAGCCTCAAAAAACTTCCCTTACTTTCCCTGACTGAGCCAAAACCTCCTCTATTTGTGTGTGAGTGTGACACGTTCCCCCTCCCAGGCACTGCAGCTTACAGCTGAAGTGTTGAAGTTGAAGTTGAAGCAAAAGAGGCAATAATGTTAATCCACAAAACAGTGAGCAGGACTAGGTATGGCCAGGTGCTAATTGACAAGCTACAGGCTTGTGCTGGGATGTTGGGGTCGATGTGGGAGAGGGACCCATGGGAATTCGGAACCTCCCTTTAAAATAAAGGGGTCCTCAGCACTTCCCCCTTATGTGAATCAGTAAGAGGTATATAAAGCCCCTTATTACTCATTCACAAAAAAAGCAAAGTAGTAAATAAACACACAGCCACAAAGAAAATCTACTTATAAATAAATAAACATTGTTCCCGAAATCCAATGTCAATTATATAGTCCAGCGATGAAGATCAATTGTCAGTCACAATGAGTGATTACCTGCGTCACAGTGATCTTCTTCCCAGCTTCTGATCCCCAGCATCACAGCTACCCATCTGACTGCTAAATGTCAACAAAGTAGTCAAGTAATTTGCACTGGTGTTTTCTTAAATATAATTTTGTGAGGATTTACATTTTGTCTGGTTTATGTACGGTTTTTGAAACAGTGAGCACTGTTTTTTTCTTGCTTAAAGAGTAACTCCAGCTGTGATGAGAAAAAAACATTCTCCTCTGGGTGATCTATGTACATTGCAGGGATTTAACAAGATTTGTTGCAGATTCCTACTTTCTGTTGTTCTGAAAAAATAGCTGTTTGTTGGTCTGTGTCCATGTGCAAAGTGAATGGAGATGATATTTTTCATTTGTGATCAGCTGTTGTACTTCCAATGAGATAGTGGCAGGGTCTGAATCCATTTAGATGTAATTACCCCCTTGGGAGTGAGGAACAATCCAAATAGCTTTGGATGTGATCAGGGGCGGACTGACAACTCATGGGGCCCCCGGGCAATAGGGGATCATGGGGCCCCTGTGTCCTTGCCAAAACTCAAAAAAGCCTATGAAAATGGTACCAGGGGCATCTCATGGGGCCCCCTACTGACCCCGGGCCCTCGGGCAGTGCCCGAGTTTCAAATGGTCAGTCCGCCCCTGGATGTCATTACACCCTTGGGTGTAAGGATGCCCAAAACCTGATTTATATCTTTGCACAGACTTCTGGAAAAATCAGTGAGCCAATCTCAGAAGCAGGGAATTACTTTTTTGGGGGGGTCGTTCCGTACAGCATCTGTGTACAGAATACTTCCAAGTTGCCATATTGCATTGTACTTCACACAAAATTACAGGGCTGCAGTTTGAAAAGGAAAGGCACTTTTGAATAATGTTATATTACAACATGGCTTGTGTCACAATTGTATATGACGTGTTATTTGTTTTTATACTGAATATTTTTTTTCCACAAAAGTGAAGCTATTCTTTAACTTCTGAGGTACTCTGGATCATCGATGAACATCTCAAATGAACACATGACAAAGATGACTGCATGACAAGAGTATTGGTTTCGATATATTTGTATGAATAAAGTTATATCCGACCTGCAATGATCTTGAGGTCTCTTTTAAAGGGTGAGCACATTTCCAATAGTTTAGGTAAGTGTCTTCATGTAAACATGATAATTTTGAAGGTGGTACAAGATGACAGGCTTTGAAGGTGTAGATGGACCAAAAAAAGGTTTAATAGAAGGGATATATATATACATCAGATCTCAATAGGGAAACATATCATGCTGGATATTTATACTGATATGGACTGGGCAATGTGTTAGGAATGTGTGGATGCCCCATCATTTGCTGGAAATGTAAATTTTCAACCTACAGAGGACCGAATTTAAAGACACCCCAAAAAAATCAAAGTGAAATGATGCAGCAGGCTAGTCCATTTTGCCGAAATATCATTGCAGCAACTCAGAATGGTACTGTCAGGGCTCCGGGAATGACCAGAGGTGTGTGGACTGACACAGGGAAACACAGACTTCAGGTATAGCGTGTAAATAATATAATTTATTAAGGGCAACACAAACATAAACGCAGTGCAACAAACCAAACCCAAAGCTAACACAAATACGTACAACAAGGTGAAACAAACACAAACTTTAACTGATATATATATACATGGAGCACAACGTAGTCAGGCGGGCTGGGTCGGTAGCTAACGGGCAGACAAGGTACAAGGAGTAGGCAGAAGATTGGTCAGGAGTAAGCCGAGGTCGGTGCAGGCAGAGTTCAAGCAGAGTCAGGATCAAGCAGAGTCAGGATCAGGCAGGAAGCAGACAGGATGCAGGTACAGGGGCTCATGGGAACAATACACCAAGGCCCTGACTGCAGGCCTGGCCATTCCTTAAATACACCACCTGCAATCAGCCTCAGGTGATGGCTTGATTGCAGGAGTGAGCTTCTGGCTGCTGAGAGCACCCGCTGGCCAGCCCTGATACTGCAGCCCACAAGGCAGGTGAGTCCCACCACCATTGGCGAGTCCATTCCTGACAGGCACTCAGTAGTTTGTATGGCCTCCACGTGCTTGTATGCATGCTTGACAATGTCGGGGCATGCTCCTAATGAGACAACGGATGATGTGCTGGGGTATTTCCTCTCAGATCTGGACCAGGGCATCACTTAGCTTCTGGACAGTCTGAGGTGCAACCTGTCACGGTCAGATGGACTGAAACATGATATCCCAGAGGCGTTCTATTGAATTTAGGTCAGGCGAGCATGGGGGCCATTCAATGTTATCAATTCCTTCATCCTCCAGGAACTGCCTCACCACATGAGGCCGGGCATTGTCGTGCACCATGAGGAACCCAGGACCCACTACACCTGACAATGGGTCCAAGGATTTCATCCTGATACCTAATGGCAGTCAGGGTGCCATTGTCTAGCCCAGAGGTGGGCAAACTGCGGCTCTCCAGCTGTTGTGGAACTACATTTCCTATGAGGCATTACACAGCTATGACTTGCAGAGCCGCAGTTTGCCCACCCCTGGTCTAGCCTGTAGAGATCTTTGCATCCCTCCATGGATATGCCTCCCCAGACCATTACAGGCAGCATAATGTTCTCCACGGCTTCTTCAGACCCTTTCACATCTGTCACATGTGCTCAGGGTGAACCTGCTCTCATCTGTGAGAAGCATAGGGCACCAATGGTCGACCTGCCAATTCTGGCATTCAATGGCAAATGCCAATTGAGCACTAAGGTGCTGGGCAGAGATAACAGGGCCCACTAGAGGACGTCAGACCCTCAGGCCACCCTCAAGTCTGTTTCTGATTGTTTGGTCAATGACATTCACACCAGTGGCCTGCTGGCGGTCATTTTATTGGGCTCTGGCAGTGCTCATCCTGTTCCTCCTTGCACAAAGGAGCAGATACCGGTTCTGCTGATGGGTTAGGGACCTTCTAAGGCCCTGTCCAGCTATCCTAGAGTAACTGCCTGTCTCCTGGAATATCCTCCATGTCTTGAGACTGTGCTGGGAGACACAGCAAACCTTCTGGCAATGGCACGTATTGATGTGCCATCCTGGAGGTGTTGGACTGCCTGTACAACCTCTGTAGGGTCCAGGTATCACCGCATGCTACCACATGTACAGTGCACCTCATAAAGCACTGCAGAAACAGATTAAATGCAAACTGCCCAGGTGTGAACCTAGCCCTGCATATGATTTTGTCTGTTGTACTATTGGTTGCAAAAACCAATCGATATACTCCCCCAATCATGCTGTTACAAATTCTATGCCATTCATTATAGGTCTCCCAGAGGGGTTCTCCTTGTCTTTATGTATTTTAGGTAGAATATACAATACAGGGATTTTGACCAACTCAGGTATCGGATATCTTGCTTCTTTGTTATCCAGAATCTTTATTCCTTTTTTTACCATCTTATCTAAATTCCTTTTAAATTCCATCGTTGAATTATTTCTTAATTTCTCATAGGTATTGTCATCCTCCAATAATATCATCACCTCTCTGTTATACATTTCTTTATACAGGACGACAATTCCCCCCCCCCCCCCCCCATTTGTTTACAGGTCTCACCACTATATCTTTTCTTTCTTCCACACTTTCAATTCTAGATTTGTAGGGAGGCAGCTCCATAGATTTTATTTGCTTAATATACTATAAATAAACGTGCCCCCCAATGTAAATCCAACATCATTCATGATGAACACTGACCCACACCAAAAAAAAAACAAAAAACACTGCCCACTGAAAATGACAGGTTCTGTCAAGAGACACTCACTGAATGACAGCTGCTTCTCCTCTGGGTGACTACACCCTCTGTGACATCACTTGGAGTCCCCATCCATTACATCAGAGGGGGTGTGGACGCCATGTGACATCACTGTGTGACAACCACCCCCATGTTTACTTAGCAATGGAGGAGAAGCTGCTGTCAATTGGTGATGGGACCAGTTGGGATTTTTTTTTTGTGTGGGTCAGCATTCATCCTGATTGATGCTGGATATAAATGGGGAAACGTATATATATTTTTATTTTTTTTCATAAAGGATTTGTCAAAAACTGTTTCTGCTTTTATTTACTTTGCCCGTTTTTTTGGTGAATGAGTAGAGGTGGTATGTACCCCATACTTATTCACATGGGGGGGTGGTATCTGGGGGCCCCCTTGTTAAAGAAGAGGCCATTTTCCTCATTAACATATGAACAAGGTGCTTTTGGGATGCCTGACCCCCCAAACCATCCCCCTATGTTGAGGGCATGTAGCTTGGAATGCTTCTGGAGGGGTGTGGCGCTCACTTCCCTCCCCCCACTTTATTGGCCTGCTGGGCTGCATGCTCCGATAAGGGTCTAGTGTGCACTTTGGAAGGAAGCCCATGCCATTTTTTGGGGCATAGAGTTTCCCTTAAAATTCATACCATACCTGAAGGTATGCATCAAAGCTGCAAGCAAGTCACATCAAAATCACAAGTAAGTTGCATCAAAGTTGACAGCAAGTTGGACTGAAGTCACAAGGAAATTGCCAAAAAAACATAAAGACATAATGAATGAATCCGAAAAATATGAAACAATATACAAAACAAATATGAATATACAAAACTAATTCCAAAAATGAATCATTCTAACATATGAGGAAACAAAATTATTGGCTCATGAGCAGCAAAGTCTTCCCTCACTTGTAGGCATTTATATATTCATTATCAAAAAAATGTAATGAATTCTTATTTAGTGCTATAAAACATCTAAATGTACATAAAGCGTCATCTGGTTCAGCTTTAATTTGTTAGTCAGATCAATCTAAATTTGCTAGTAGACAGAACACTACCTTCTCCCTAGATTGACAGTGCTGCTGCCCAAAGGTGTCTCCATTGCTCCTCCATTCAGAGTAGAGACACTCTAAAACTCTATTATTACCATTTTAAATTCAAATAACTGGAAAGTTTTACATAGAAAAATTAATAGGTCACATGGCCACATTAAAAGTCAGAGAAGCGGATACCTAGATATACCCTAGGAATATTGTTAAGGTTACTAAAGCTGTTTTCAGATGACTCTAAATGGTGACATTTAAACAACTCAAGGAATTAATACTTTAATTGTGGGTATAGACCATTGCTATACACTAAGACATATCACATGGTAAAGAGTTGCAACCCAGTAATTAGATCTTTAGAAGAGAACTGCATGGGTCTGCTCTTTCAGCTGTAGTCATCACATTTGGGGATTTTTAAGATCTAATATACCTGTATTACATTTTTGTTATTGGATTAATACCCCTTTCAATTCAAACAACTGGAAAGTTTACATAAGAAACTGATAAGGTCACATGGGCAAATTATAGGTCAGAGTGGCGAATACTGTAGGATTATTGCTGAGGTCTCTAGCGCTGTTTTTAGATGACTCTAAATGGTGACATTTAAACAATGAAAGGAATTAATACTTTAATTGCGGGTATTGACCATTTTTATCAACTATGACACATCACATGGCAAAGAGTTGCAACACAATAAATAGATCTTTAGAAGAGAGCTGCATGGATCTGTTCTTTCAGCTGCTACTAGGCTCAAATAGCCATGCATCTTTGTTCTACTTTCTTTGTGCTACTGCTTCTAACATGGATGGAACAAGGTAAGACTGACACAAACTGGCCTGTTTCACTACAGTGTACAAAGTGACATAGCTGATAGCCTCCAATCAGGTCTCTCATTTGTTACGACAGAAGAAAGTTTAAATCTCATTGGTTTTTGTAGATTGATATGCAACATTACTGCATTATTGAATAAATCCATTAGATTTAAATTTCCACACTGTCATCCAGCCATTAGACAGATGTAGATTGTATTATTTTACTTGCTGAGCATGACAATGGCAGGGGATCCTCTCCCTGTACTCTCTGTACCTGTGAAGGAATTAATTACAAGTCCCATCTGCAACCGACAACTTAATGAACGGCAAGGGCACTGATGAGCACTCTCTGTGATTCAGTAACTGTCTGACCCCACAGGAGATATGGGCAGACAGCTATACTGAGTGTTTCTAGAAGTCTTACATTGAACCCGTGATCCACTGATCGTGATTGAATTAACTGCGAGGGCACTGATGAGCCCTCTCTTAGCTCATTGATTCCTTCTTTTTTTATGGACAGCCATACTGAGTGTCTGCAGAAGTCTGATAATGTTTTACAGACTGCAGTGTACAAAAATGACACATTTTACCTGAAATATGTGCATTTATTTATTTTTTACAAAAGGTGAACATTTTAAATGATCTTCACCAAATCTCATACTCAACAGAATGAATTGGATTGCAAAGGGCATGCCAGGGCTGACCAGAAGGACTTTTGACAAGCAGCAGGCAATCTAGTGAGTAATATGTACCTGGATCATGGACAGATGATCAAAAGATTAGGAGGGGATTGTGGGGTGAAGGATGTTGCACTTACCAGGAGTAAGTGGTCTCAGGGGTTGAAATTTCAACCTAGCCCCATGCTCCAGGGGGGGGGCGTGCAGCAAAAGGAGGAATATGGGGAGGATTGGTTCCTTTTTCATGGATGCTCAACCTGTGGCCCTCCAGCTGTTGCGGAACTACAAGTCCCATCATGCCTCTGCCTTTGGGAGTCATGCTTATAACTGGCAGTGGCTTGCAATACTTCATGGGACTTGTAGTTCCACAACAGCTGGAGGGTCACAGGTTGAGCACTCTTGCTCTACATGCTGTCCGGCCTCCCCTCCTATCCACCTCCTGCTGTGATTGGGGCCCTGTGTGATCCCCTGGCACCCCATCATCCCCAAAGTGCTGCAGTGCTCCCCCCTCTCCTCTCCCGTCAATTGATGCAGAACATGTGTCAGGATGGATAGCAGAAAAGGGGCCGGTAAATATCTCATTTACCGGCACCTTCCTTGTCTTAATTAATAGAGTCAGTGATCAGTAACGATTGCTGACTTTGTTCATTTATAATTGAAGCATAGTAAACTGTGCTTACTATGTTCAGTTTGAGAATGAATGGGGAACTCTGCACAGAGCAATTCCTGTTCATTCATTCTTTTCTGCTGAGGCTGCAGAGATAGAGATTGAGGGCTGTGTCCTCAATCTCCTTTCAACGTCTCAAAGGTGAAACACCAGAGGTCTGTTTAGCTCCTGATATTTCACCAAAGTCTCCCAACA